ACTTAACTTAAACCTACTAATTGGGGGGCATAGCATGCCCAAATTGACGATTCAAACACCGAGACTTCTGCATTTGGAAGCGATATGGTAGAGCCATGGACGTATAAAGTTCGTGAACAACCAACTTGTTAATATTGACGGGATATGAGGAATGATCAAGAATGAACGAATCCTTGTTTCTAGGGAATTACAAGACAAAACTCAATTGAAGAATAAAGGCATTGCATGATGAGGACTCGCTAGGACGACAACCCCGCATGGGACATTCTAGGAAAAATTAGGGCAAAGAAAAAAAATTAAAATCCCGATAGGAAGTAAGTCTATCATGATTTACTCTTGAAGTAAATGAATCTCACTTACTTTAAGAGTAAGTTTCCTTAAACCAATTTCATTCAATAAGTCATGCTTTATGTCAAATTTTAATAATTCAACCGTTAAATTAAAAATTCTTAATGTATAAATTAAGTCTACAAATTTGCAAAAGATTTTAAAACTATTTGATACTTCTGTTTCATTAATTCAAATTAACATATAATCATAAAAAATATTTTATACATTGATTCGAATTAATGAAATGGAATATCAAATAGTTTTCAAAACGTTTAAACCTTTGTAAATTTAATCTATACATTAAAAACTTTTAATTCAACGATTGAGTGAATCTACTTACTCTAAAAGTAAATCTACCTAGACTTACTCCATCCAATAACTCATGTTCTACATCAAATTTTAATGATCTAACCGTTGAATTAACAGTTCTTAATGCATAGATCAAGTCCGCAAATTTTTTAAAAGTTTGAAAACTATTTGGTACTCTATTTCATTAATTCAAATCAACATATAAAATACTTTTATGACTATCTGTTAATTTGAATTACTAAAATAAACTATCAAATAATTTTCAATTTTTTAAAAACTTTTGCAGATGTGATCTATACATTAAGTTTTTAATTTAATGGTTAGCTAGTTGAAATTTGATGTATAAAATGAATTATTAAGTGAAGTAAGTCTAACAAAACTTACTATTGGAGTAAGTGGATCCCTCTTCACACACACACACACACACATATATATATAGAGAGAGAGAGAGAAGAAGAAGAAGAAGGATCAAATAACTCCAAGAGTAACTCTTGGTAAAGTTACTCCTCTTTTGGTGATGGAGTTTGTTGCTGTGGAGGAGAATGAGGCTCACCTGGGACTTCTATAGTTTTTTCTTCTAGTTGTTGAATTAAGATAGGAATGTTTTTCTCTACTTTCTCATCATTCCAATTCCAAGCTGCATTTTCATCAACTTCAACATTTCGACTAATAATCAACTTCTTGGTTTGCAAGTTGTAGACGCGGTAGCCTTTTGACTGTGTGCTATATCCAAGGAAGATGCCTCGTACTGTCTTGTCTTCTAGCTTGTGCCTTTTCTCTTCTGGAATGTGTATGTAGCAAATAGATCCAAATACCCTTAGGTGCTTTGCTGATGTTTTTTCCCGCTCCAAGCTTCAATTGGAGTCTTATCTTGGACTACCTTAGTTGGGCATCTATTAAGTATCTAGACAGCAGTATAAACTGATTCAGCCCAAAAAGTGTTTGGTAATCCTTTCTCCTTGAGCATCGATCTGGCCATCTCCATTACTGTGCGATTTTTCCTTTTAGATACTCCATTTTGTTGTGGAGAATATGCAACTGTAAGTTGTCTCTCAATGCCTTCATTATTTGATAATTCATTTGTTTAATTCAAATTGATGGATAATCATAAAAACATGGCTAAATACCTATTTTGGTCCCTTATAATCTTTTTTTGTTTCAATTCAGTCCCGCTTTTATTTTAATTAATTTTAATTTTATATACAAGATCAAATTATATTTTTTTATATATTACTTACAATTTGAAAATATTTGCATAACAGTTGGTAATGCTGATGCACAGCTAACGTTGCCCCAGAAAAAGAATAAAATAAAATTGATGAATAGAACAACGTATAGTGTGAACTGCAATATTTTTCTCTTGATGCACATCCCCATTAACATCATATATACCTCTTTCCTTGACAAGATGTTGGTTTTGCACACTCAATTTGCTTCACACTTGATTTAACTATAATTTCATTTTCGTCAAGCTATCGTTCTTTTGAGTTCAAATTGACATCTAATTAGATATTCATTTCTTTAATATGTTATGTATAGAATATAGATATAAATGTTCAAATTAAGAAAAAAAATAAGAAGGAAAAGAGACAAGATATATGCAAGTTGGAATTGGAACATACCCAATCTTGAAGCTGCTGTCAGGGTTGTGTACAACTAATAATGCTATTGACTGTTAAATCATTACACAACATAATAATTAAATTATTGGAGCACGCATTACATATAAGTTTGTATCTAGTGCAAGATCTGTGTTCCCCACTAATATAGACTCAATAATTAATAATATTATATATTTATTTTAATGGTAGTATATATTAATAAACGTAATAGCTTGATCAACTACATAGTACATAGTGCAAAAACAGTTCTGTATCGTTTTCTTTATTTATTTTCTTTTGACATTTTATAAAATATTTCTAGAAAACTACCAACTACTTTCCTATAAAAATAAATTCCAACCACCACCTAACCCATCCAAGTAAAATCTGTTAGCTATAAGACACAACATTATCCAATTTAATATTTCTGCATTCTTTTGTTGAGTCGGAGTACATTTCAAAACTTACTGAACTTAATACTAATCCATCATTTATTGACTCCTAATTTTTTTATAAATTGTTATAAGAATAAAATAATTTAAAAAGTGTATGTATATTAAATTAGGGTATGAGTGTGAGACCCCTATTTCCTTTTTCGTTCCCTTTTCTCTCCCTCACTTTCACTTCTACTCCTTATGTTTCTATTATCTCTTTTCTTTATTCTCTCAAATTTCATGCTCTCTAGCTGAAGAGGTGGTTACCTAGAGGTTGAACTTCTCAAACGCAAGCCTTGTGAAGCTAGCCGGAAGACAGATTCCTTCTCCTTATCTTCTCTTTTGTTCTCCTCTTCGTTCAAGCTTCTTAGTCTTCTCGGAGCTCGGATTCTCGCATCGAGGTAAAGGAAGTTAGTTTTGGTTGTGATTGATTGTTGGGAGTGAGCTAGAAACTCACATGATGGCTGATTGTTGCAGATTGATGGCTGAGATTGATGAAAATGGATTTTTCCGGGGTTTCGGGGTTTTGATGAAAATTTGGGGATTTTTATTAATATTTTATATATAAAAAAAAGAATGAAAAAAATTTAGTGGGGACAAGTGCCCCCACTATGATTAACTTAGATCTGTCCCTGCATATGGTTGTGCAGTGAAATAAAATCTGCTACCATTGTCTTTAGTGATATATTGCATTATCCTTAATAATATATTGTATAGCCTAACTATTTAGCAATTGAAGTTATTAATTTCCTAGCATACCTATGTATTTTTCTATAAGAATCTAGATTATTCCAGAAGTTTGTATCATATTTTAACATAAAGCTACCTAAAGGTAAAAAAACTTTGGGATGCAAGTGGGTGTTCACCATCAAGTATAACTTTAATGGCTCTCTTGAAAGAAATAAAGCTTGACTGGTTGCTAAACAACCAAACTCATGAGATTGACTACTTTGAAACCTTCACACCAATGGCAAAGCTCAGCACCATTAGAGTTTTCCTCTCTCTAGCTACAAACCTTGATTGGCCCTTACAACAGTTAGATGTGAAGGAAAAATTGTTGCTCGTTTGTCTATGTGGATGATATTATCCTTACATGACATGACTAGCAAAAGATGAAAAAGCTCAAAGAAACGCTCTGCAGAATTTGAAATAAAAGATTTGGGGTCATTAGGGTATTTCGTAGGAATGGAAGTAGCAAGGTCAAGAAAAGAATTGTCCTTTCACAAAGGAAATATATCATAGATCTTATGAAGGAGACCGGCATGAGTGGGTGTAGACCAGCTGAGACACCTATAGATCCAAATAAAAAACTTGGAGATGGCAAGGAATAGGATCCTGTGGACACTATTCGCTATCAAAGACTAGTTGGGAAACTTATGTACTTGTCTCACACAAGGCCACATATTACATTGTCAGTTAGTCTTGTAAGTCAAATTATTCACTCTCCCTGTGAAGAACATCTTGATGATGTTTATAGAGTCCTAAGGTACTTGAAAAGTACTCTTGTGAAAAGGGTTGTTGTTCAGTAAAAATGCTCAGCAATCTATTGAAGGATACATCGATGTGGTACTACACCTTTGTATGGGGTAATCTTGTTACTTGGCAAAGCAAAGAGCAAAGTGTGGTTGCTAGGAGCAGTGCAAAAGTAGAGTACAGGTAAATGGCACAAGGTATTTGCGAGATGGTGTGGTTAAAAAGTGTCCTTGAAAAGCTAGGAATGACAATTACTCCTCGAATGAAGTTGTGCTATGATAACAAAGCTGCAATCGGCATTGCTCAAAAATCCAGTACAACATGATAAAACCAAGCATGTGGAGACAGATCCACATTTTATCTAAGAAAAGATAGAAAATGGAACAGTTTGCATGCCGATTATTCCCACTTCTCAACGAATAGAAGATATTCTTACTAAAGGGTTGTTTAGAAACAATTTTGAATTCCTCATAAGCAAGCTGGAAATGATAGATATTTATGCACCAACTTGAGGGGGTGGTCGCAATTGATATGGTTGAATTAGGCGCATTTAATGCTGTGATATTATTCCCTGTTTCTTATCTTACTCTTTTCCTATTTTACTTTCCTAGTTTTTTGTTTTTATTTTGCTTTAATTAGGATTGTAATAAATCTGCATCAGTTTCATATTGATATCTGATCAGATATTGGGTAATATTTTCCCTGTAATCATGCATATTTGTTTCCCTAAATAGAATCAATTCTGCCTTTAAATTAAAAGTTGTACTACTCATTCAAAGTAAAAGAAAATAAAATAATTCCTTTCTATGTTGTATTTATAATGCAGTATCAAAGGAAAAACAATGGGACTAACCTTAAAGGATTTGCCAAAATTCGTTGGCCAATGGTCACGGAGCTGGTCCTAAACCAGGCAAGTGAAGAAACACTGCAAAACAAGAAACACATAAGAAAACTTATGCCAATTCAAGTTTCATGTATATTTATTTCATTGGTTATTCAAACAAGATTTAATACTAGATAGCATCACAAGGTAAACCTTCCAGTAAATATATGCTCTCTTATGCCCAAAATGGTGGGTTGTCGTTGCCCGCTATGTGCTTTTTGAAATTCTTCTAATACATTTCTCATTTTGAAAGATTCTTCGTAATAGTTTTCCTTAACAAAAATATAATGAAGTTAGACCAGCATTGATTTATACAAAAAGTACTTCTTAATAAAATGAAGTCCAAGGAAAAGTTACTTGATTCATATCTCTGGTCTGCAAGGCTTCTCCACGAGTAAATATAATTGCGTGATTTAGGTTTTCAGGTCTCCCTTCACCAATTATTGTTGGAGGACCAGGTAGCTTGATGCGATATATTTCCTAGTAATGCAATTTATAATAATTTTAATTATAATTTAAGGCTATTTAAAACCCAAAACAAACTCAACATGAATTAAGCAACAATAACATCCTTTAGTTTGTCACATAAATAATCTTTTACGCTAGAATTATTCTAGTAGCATTCATATCAGCTCTTTCATAAATTTTTATTTGTTTCACCTCTTAGATGTCTACTCCCTAATGATTTATTCATTGTTAAGGAAGTGGTTATTTACGGTTGAATAAATAAGAGGTAAATAGCTAATTTTAGTTAAGTTTTGCTTACTTTGAATCTTTTTGTTATGATTTAGGAATTGCGTGTCAATCTTCAATACACATAACTCTTATTTATAATAAAAAAAATAAGAATTTACATGATATGATATGAAATAGCTAGAAGCAAGAAAGGTATTTTCATCTCACAAAGGAAGTACACTCTTGATTTGCTTCGAGAAACAAGGAAACTAGGGTGTAGACCTGCAACAACTCCCCTAGACCGAAATTGGAAGCACAAGATTATTGAAGATGATCCTTTAGTTGAGAAGGAGAATATCAACGCCTTGTAGAAAAACTAATCTACCTATCTCTCACTAGACCAGATATTGCCTACAGTGTTAGTGTGGTCAGTCAATTTATGCATTCTCCTAGGAAGAGGCATCTGGATGTTGTAAATTAGATTCTTCGTTATCTCAAAAGTACTCCTGGAAAGGGATTATTGTTCAGAAAAATGAACACAGAAGTGTGAAGTGTTTTGCAGATGCTGATTGGGCAGGTTCAGTTAAAGATTCAAAGTCTACCACAAGATACTATACAAAAGTATGGGGAAACTTAGTGACATGGAGAAGTAAAAAAAAATCAGTTGTTACAAGAAGCAGTAGAAGAAGCAGTGCAGTGCAGTGGAAATGAATAGTATCAACCTCAAGTAGAAAATTAATAATAATGTCATATACATGGTTTGAGTTGCTCCTCCTTTGAGTTAACTACCATTAATACTAGAAAATTGAATGCAGGAACATCGATGGTCACCAATGAATTTGTCATCAAAATTGTAGAAAAGGCCTTTGTCCCATACCTTTTGAATTTAAGAAACATTGAGACAATTAATTAATGGGTAAGTTTGGGGTTGTGTAGGTTGATGAGGGGTGATTGATGTCAAAGAAGGGTTGATAGGTGGGGAACAAAAAGGGTTTAGCTTGATGTCCTTGGTTTTCGCTTCAATGAGTCCAATTTCGGGTACGAGGCCAAGAATGAAATAGTTCAAAATAACATCAGAATATAGGTCATAATTTGCCAGCATTTTTTTCTCAAAATGTAAATAACTACCTAGTGAATTTTAGAGGTTGAATATCCAAATTAGACCACCCCAGATTAGTAGATTTTCAAAGAACAAGTATACACAACTAAAATTTAATTTATAAAATTATAATAAATATGGAAAAAGCACAACTCACAATAAAACATTAAGCCATGATCTTTTGTTCATACCTCATCATATTTCTCCCTTCCCTTGACAAGAACAGAGTAATAAACTTTCTCAGGTTTTCCATCCTTTGTTTCTTCTATTTCATCTATGTAAGCAACACGAAGGGATGAATGCCTGCATGGAATGTTCGATTTTTTCCACTATCAATCCTATTATTATTTTACAATATACAATGAACTAGTAATGTTATGCAAGTGTTGGATTGACTCACGTAAACATCAGACGGAGAATGCTACTATAGCAACTTCTGTCTCTTGGATTTTTGGACTTTTTAAGATTAGCGTACACTTGACAAGAAAGAACATAGGTGAACTTTAAATCAGCCATAGCTTGTGCTATGTCGAGAAACTTCTTATTTTTATTGTAGTAATCCTTTATTCGAAAGCCTTCAGAGAGAGCTGCAACAGAAACAACGTATAGTTGACTTTGTATTTGAATGGCTTCTGACATATCTCAAAATTTGAACTCCGAACACAGTATGTAAATAGAGAAATAACCAGTGTCTCCAGCAAATTCTATGAAGCACTGAAGGATCAAAGCTTGCCAATAGTACATCATTCCTCTCACTAGCAAAAACAAATGGTTGCAAAATAATATTTAAAATTTAATATATATTCAAATCTAGAAATGAAAATATTGTTCATTCCGATCAAGACCTGTTCGATATAGTGTTTGCCCTCTACAAGATGCCCACAGACAAACTAACTCCTTATCATTTTCAAGATGATCACTTTTTAGTCGTTCACTGAAATTGGCCCATTCATCTACAATGCATTAATGCCTGTTAATTGTAATCCAAATTTTGAGAAAAGAAAAGAAAGTACAAGATTAATCATGAAAGAATGTCCTAGAAAATTACAAATTATATTATAATCAGTTCAGTAGAAAAGCTACGGGAATGTTAAAAAAGAATCTAGTAAATAATTAAATATTATTCCACTGACATGGTATGGGCATATGGCAGGTGATTAGATGCCTAAATATATGGCAACAAAATCTCACATTGTATACAATCACAAGCATTAGAGAGAAATAAAAGTTACATTCGATCAAACAAGTAGATTCAAGCCTAATTTAACTTTACAAAACCATCTTGTAAGGTGAGGGTTAATCCCTACTTATATACAATATTATGGGTTTACTACTAGTCGACGTGGAATTGCCAACACACCCACTAGTCGTGGGATCTCCAACACGCCCTCGCACGCGGAGAACTAGACTTCTCAAGCATGAAATTTGCAAAACTAGACATCTACAGCTGATCCAATAGCAACCCGATAGCGAGTGGCACAATAGGCCCAACAACAATAAATAATCACTAGGATATGAGCTTTGATACCATTTTAAGAAAATGAATTGGAGTCTAATTCAATCTTACAAAACTGACTTAAAAGATGAGGGTTGCTCTCAACTTATATACATTACTATAGCATTATCACTAGTTGATATGGGATCTTCAACACATCATAAATATGAGATGAAGAGATTTAAGGGAAAATACAAGTAACACCAAAACATAAAGTGGCCATACATCATAAAGTTCAAAATAGAGTACACGAGTACCATAGAAAATCATTTTGTATTTGGTTGATAAAAGATATAATAGAAGTATGTAGATACTCTATTTATAGAGCTTATATGTAGCAACACTCTAACAAACTAAATGATGTCTCTAACAAACTAATTATTCTCAACTGATTCTATCCTACATGAGAGCCCACTTAATAATCATGAACATAGAAAACTATCAGCCTTCAACATTGTTATCGCTACAAAAGCAACCTTTACTCATATTTTCTAAAACTATCAATGTTAGACTGTAAAATGAGTGCACATTTATTAAAGTGAGGCAGAAATGTAAGTAAGCATTTAAAAATACTCACCGGGATATATCTTGGTTAGGTATGATAAAATTGATAGTCCATCTTCATTTTCCTTATTAATTTCCTCATCAGAATATACAATATCTTCTTTAAAATACGGTGTTAGAACACTGAAGCAAAACTCAAATAAGTTTCATATCATGAAAGCATGAGGAAAATTATGAGAATATTAATATTTAATTTAGAAAATTAGCATTATAATAGAATATACAATGAAGTATATTTATGTTGATTATTGTAAAAGATATGGTTATATATCTAATTATATCTTTACAATTACATTAGAATGATTAAATACAAATAGTCAAGTTGGATATTAGTTATTTTGTAACCGAAGTATGCTTTAGTTCATAATCAAGCTTGGTTTAATGATAATGTTTGTTAGAAGTTAGGAATGGTGGGTTGGTGAGATTTTGGTATGATGTTTGGGTGGGTGGAGAGTGGTTGGCAAAAAAATGAGAGATTATAGTCAAATTCACTTCAAATGAACAAGGTTAGAGTAATATTGTCATTAGCAGCAAATCATGATTGGGACCTGCACTTGTTCGATGTGAAGAATGCATTCCTACAAGGAGACCTTGAAGAAGGAATATACATGGAGTTTCCCCCTCATTATGATGGACAGGTTGTTGTTGGAACTGTTTGCAAGCTAAAAAAAGCTCTATATGGGCTAAAACAATCCCCAAGAGCATGGTTTGGAAGATTCGCCAAAGTTATGACAAGTATAGGCTACAAATAAAGCCAAGGGGATCACACTTTATTTATCAAACATTTAATTTCTGGGGGAGCAACAATATTATTGGTTTATGTACATGATATTATAGTAATTGGGGATGACAAAAAGGAGCAGCAAGTTTTAAGTCAATGCCTTGCCACGGAATGAGATTAAGACATTAGGAAGACTAAAATATTTTTTGGAAATTGAAGTCGCCCATTCCAAGAAAGGAATCTTCATATCTCAAAAAAAGTATATTGTTGACTTGCTTAAAGAAACAAATAAGACAACTTGCAAACCAACAAGTACTCTAGTTGATCCAAATATAAAGTTGGGGAGTGTGGAGAAAGATATTGTCGTGGACAAGAAAATGTATCAAAGACTCGTGGGAAAGCTTATTTACTTATCTCACACTAGGCTAGACATTACTTTTGTTGTGAGTCTAGTCAGCTAGTTTATGCACCAACCTGTTAAGATATTCTATGATATTCTAAGATATAGTTTAGATATATTAGTTTATTTTCTCCTGATTTATAGTTTATCTTAATCCCTAAACTTTAGGGATTGGTTTCTGTTACAAGTCTATTAATTTGATTGTACCCATTAATTCAGATTCAATAAGAAATTATTCATATTCAAGTAACCAAAGGAAGCACATTTACAAGCTTCCCTTAGAATTGTCCAGTATTTAAAAGGAACTCAAGAAAATGGATTTTGTTCAAACGAAACAGGAGTGTAAGTCTTGAAGCATATACAGATGTAGATTATGCGAGGTCAGTTGTGGATAGGAGATCAACTACTGGATACTTCACCTTCCTTGGTGGAAACCTAGTGACTTGGAAGAGCAAAAAATAGAGTGTAGTAGCTAGATTGCTAAAGCAGAACATCAAGCAATGGCTCAAGGAATATGTGAACTTCTATTGCTAAAGGTTATATTGGAAGACCTAAAGATTAGGTGGGATGAACCTATGAGGTGATATTGTGACAATAAATCTACAATTAGTATAGCCCATAGCCTGGTGCAACATGACAAAATTAAACATGTCAAGGTGCAAAGAAATTTTATCAAGGAAAAGCTAGATAGTAGCATGATTTGCACCCCATATGTGTCCACTTAGTTTCAACTTGCAAACATACCCACCAAGGGGCTGAACTACATTACCTTTGCAAGAATTATATCCAAGCTGGGAATGAAGAATACTCAGTCACTAGCTTGAGGGGGAGTGTTAAAACCGTGTTGCTCATTGTGTATTTTAGGAAGTCTTATATTTTATCCTTGCAGTAATTTTATTCTTTGTCACAATTGTATCTTGCTATTAATACTAGGTTTATGTATTTATAAACAATCCCATAATCACATGGATTTGTCTCCCTAGAATTAGTTGTCCATATTTCCTAAAATTGCCAGTAGGCTCATGTATATATAGGTCCATTGACCTCATTTTTATAAGAAAAGAAAAAGTGAGTATTATTCATTCTAAATTTGAAAGATTCAGTAGATATTCCAACTTCAATCCAAAAGGCTATGAGAGAAGAACACTGGATTCTAGCCATGAAAGAAGAAATGAAGACATAGGAAATGAACTCAACATGGGAGATTGTAGACAGACCTAAAGACAAGAAAGTTGTAGGATACAGATGGATATTCACAGTAAAGCACAAAGTTGATGGGACAATAGAAAGATGCAAAGCAAGATTAGTAGCAAAAGGGTACACATAGACTTACAGAATAGACTATGAGGAGATATTTGCATAAGTTTGTGTGTACCCTTTTGCTACCAATCTTGCTTTGTATTTTATTAATTTGTATCATTTTCAAAGGAGGGCAACTTGATTTATATAGCACGGTTGAGAAAGTTAGGTACATAGCTTGGGTTTGGATCTCTTCTATATGGAAACGTGCTTCATTTTCCTTTTATGAGTGGTACTCAAATCCTAATTTGTGTGTCAAATTTCTTTGTTAACTTGGTGGGATGGAAGTACAAAGGAAGCACTGCAATTATAAGTCCTGGTTTTGTTGGAATCTACAACTAAACTGTTTGTTTGTTTGTTTGTTGGTGTTTCTAGTTTTGGGAAGGGAATGTATCTATGATTATTAATTAGGTGGAGGACTTGAATGTAGATACTATAGGCAGGTGGAAAGCTGTCAATTTGTTGATAGAGTATGGTTGGGGTGTTGTAGTGGTGGTTATTGGATATGTATACAACCTTGATGTATATAGCCTATAACCATTGGATGTCAACGTCATTTTGTAAACTTCGAGCACCACTGGTGCCTTACATAAATATATATTAATATTTTGTTGCTTCAAAAAAATATAAATCATGTGTTTAACATTATACAATATCTTTCCCCAATAATTCTCTCTCAACAAAAGTAAACAACCACCTATATATTTGAGAAAGTGAATAATTCATATGTAGATAATACATGCATGCAGGCACAATAAATGAGGTGGCAATTAATTCTTACCAACAACAAAGAGCAATAGTAATGAAAAACACATCTGCTTGGTATCTTAATCAATCTTCTTTTTTGAGTTAGTCAGAAAAAATGGTTTGGGTAGACCTTGGGTATGGAGCACATTTCATCCATGCATTTTAAAATTTCGTATTTGTTATATATTAAATTATTCATAAGCCTTGGCCCAACCACTTATGCTTTTATGGAAGTTGGCCGTGGATACGGGATTAGAATTATGAGCATGTGGTCAAGTGTTTGATTCTTGTTGCCCTCAGTCCTCTAATATAAAGTAGAATTTCACCACAAGATAGAGTATACCAATGTGTTTCAAGCTTAGAGGACTCTTGCATGAGGTGGTAGTCATGTAAAACCAACCATTCATAACCTTGCCCTTGTCCTTCACATTAATCAATACTCATTCAAATTTTTCCTTTCGATTCCAATCAATATAGCAGTCTAACACAATGACTAACCTGAACGACAACATCTCCCGAACTTTGGGAGCCGTTGGCATATTCATAAATAAGGAGTTTGCAAAGAATGTAATACGGCGTCGGGCTTCTAGATTTTGGGGCACAATTATGGCTGATTCCTTGACTGTCAAAAGCGAAAGAAGCCTAATAACCTACACAGAAGGAACAGAAACTTGTAAACAACAACACATTCAAAAAGAATAATGTAATGTAATGTGTTCACTCAAGTATAGCTGCATGAGTACCTTTCCCATCACTGATCTTTTGTGTGTAAGAGAAGTATCGATGTTGACAAACCTCTCCTTTCTCTCTGCATGATATTGCTGAGGTGTTTGCTGAAACCTAGAGAAAGAAGAACCAAGCCAATATTGCAAAGCCATACTTATTATAAGATTTAAAAAATCATGTACAAAATTTCTAGTCACCGTTTCAAACATACAAATGGCCATCAACCATAACATCGTGTGTGATGATTTCTACAATATCTTGCAGGACATTCACTATCTGGTACTTTTTTTTGCCATCTGCAGATTGCTGCCAGTGGGAAAAAAATTGATATTTATAAATATTTGCAGACGTCCTACAAGAAGGAACTGACATATACTAAGAAGAAAAAAGGAAGCACAATGGGAAAAACGTACCAAAAATAGACTTAAGAATTTCACTAACTTATCAATGAGTGAAGGCAATCCACTCATCTTGAATTCCTTGACAAATGTTTCTTCTCGTATGCACCGTTCTACTTTAGCGCATATACTGCTTACAAGCCTGTCTCCATGGAATAAACCTAATACTCATGAGGATTCCAATAAGAAAATTAAATGGATGAACAGAGGCTAAACAAGTATATTTCTCTTACAGCCTCTCTTCTTCATCTAGCAGAAGAATCAGTATGATGTCCTTGACAGTCTCATAGCATTCAACAACTGCTGAAGTCATATACGCATCGCTCCTAATCTTTCTACATAAATCATCATCAGTCTCCTTATGATCTTTTGCCATGTCAACAGCTATAGGAATCTATCACATATCGAAGTGATTTACAAACGAATCAAAAGACACGTCCATTCAATTATGAGAACATTTGGCCATGGGGAATCACTCATATGACACACCTTATTAGCAAGCAAGAATAGAGGCCACTGAATGACAGAAACATCAGTTGAACTGTATGGAATTAGAAGCAAATCTCTATCCCTAGAAAATTAGAATAGAAGAGATATAATCAGAAGCTTGAAAATCAGGCATCAAATACAAAATTTGTCATTAAGGCATGCATAAGTTTGGACCTGTAACTGATGAGGTCTTCCTCTCTCATAGAATTTATAAACTCATTCCAAAACTGAGAAAAGTATGAAATATTATTCCGTTCATATGTCTCATCCTGCCACAGAAACTTAAGTCATAAGACAGGATATTTAACTTCTATGAAGTTATAAAAGTTTTAAATATCAGTTGTGGTTGTGGTTGCAGTTTCATCATGTTTATTAATTGATATAACAGAAATCGCACACAAATGCAGCCAATGTAGCCAAAATTGCAGTCACGTTTCGGTCACCAAAGACTTGAAATACCTTGACTTTGCAGCCAAATCACAGTCGCTGACTGTGTTTTTCAAACATGGTAGTTATATAATTTGATTTTACACATACCAATTCCACCTGTTTAGTCTTTCTGTCTCTTCCAGTCCAAAATCGCTGACTGAAAGCTCTTGGTATAGATTGAAATCTGGAGTGAAGCATTCGAAGTGTCCTTATCTGAGAGATGCAAAATATTAGGAGAATATCACCAAAAGACTATAGCATGGGCATGTATTTGTCTAAGTATTAGGTTCTATTGGAGTATAGTTTTACTCTTTATTTATATGTACAACAGTAATGCAGGATTTATATAAAAGTTTCTGTTTTATTATTTTGCAGGATTTATATAGAAGTTTCTGTTTTATTATTTTCTATTGTATTGTTAGTCACATTTATTGTTTTCTATTATAGGCCAATAGCTGTTACAGTCCGACACCTTCTATTAGAAGCTGTTGTCTCTATATAAACAACTTGTACTTTATTTAGTTAGTGAAAAAACATTTTACATTTCAGAAATTTTCTTTCTTTCTCTCTCTCAACTTCTCTCTCTATATATTTCTATTATGATATCATAGAGTTCATCAATCCTTTCTTTCTTTCTTGATCCTCTCAACAACCTCCTTCATGGCTGATTTTTCTCCACCACCACTGCCTCCACCAATCAACATTACACCAACCAATATTGTTCATCAAAAGAATCCACCAGCTAATTCTTCTCCATCTCTCAGCTTTTCCCACACCAAATTAGAAAAGTTGGACACCAAGAACTACCTTCTTTGGTGCCAGCAGGTTGAACCAATGATCAGGGGCCACAAACTTCATCACTTTCTTGTCAACCCTCAAATTCCTCAAAAGTTTCTTTCAATTATTGATTGTGATGCTGGCGAAGTCTCTGGATCCTATCTTACTTGGGAATAGCAAGATCAACTCTTGTTGTCTTGGTTGAAATCTTCCATGTCTAAAGACATGCTTACTCGTGTTATAAGCCGCAAGACATCTTTTCAACTTTGGGATAAAATACATTCCTACTTTCTTTCTCACACAAATGCCAAAGCTCATCAACTTCACAATGAACTGCACAACACCAATTTTGAGAATCAAACCATTTCAGATTATGTTCTCCACATTCAAACCTTTGTTGATGCCCTCACAGCCATTAGTGACTTTGTTTCCTCAAAAGAACATCTTGATATCATTCTTGAAGGCTACCCATCAAGAACCTAGATCTCAGTTCGTCCAACGTTGTGGTGGTTGAACTAGTTCTCGTGGTGGTCATTACAACCATGGTGGCCATGGACGAGGCAGATTTGTTGGCTTTCAATGCCAAGTTTGCCATCGTTATGGGCATGTTATGTCTTCTTATCACTACAGATTTGAAGAGAATTTTGTCCCATCTTCTCTGCTGGATACACCTATCTCTACCTTTGCTAATCAAACTTCCAATCCCAATACTTGGTACACCACCCAATCTACTACTCCAGTCAGTACATTCCTTCATCTTCACAACAACCTTCTCATCCTACACTCCACCAAAATGGAATTCTTAGGTCTTGACGACCGCTCACCCCACAAGCGTACTTTGTTCCTGCAAACACAAAAGGAAATTTACAACTACAACCTCATGCCATGATTGACTCATCCTCTTCTTTTGGAAATGGATTCTGGTGCTTCAAATCATGTAACCAATGTTTCTCAAAATATTCAACAATTTACCCCTTTTGAAGGACCAGATCAAATCAATATTGGAAATGGTCAAGGCCTCAATATTAATTCAACAAGTGTTACTACCTTTTCCTCCCACAATAAATCCTAAATTTCATTTTGCTCTAAATAATCTTCTTTTTGTTCCATCCATTACCAAAAATCTAATTAGTGTTGGTCAATTTTCAAAAGATAATTTTGTATTTTTTGAGTTTCATCCCTCAATTTGTTTGGTAAAATCACAGGCTACTAAAGAAATTTTTTTTGGCCCTTATTATCTTGGCAAGTCCCATAAATTACATTATAGTTTGTCTTGAATTAATATTCAGCGATTTGTGAGGCCCTGCACCAGCCTCATCTACATGTGAGTATCAATATTGTGTTACCTTTGTTGATGCTCACACACGTTTCACATGGATTTATCTTCTTAAAAGCATAGCCTAAACTCTTGATACTTTTAAACAATTTCATGCTGTGGTTAAGAATCAATACCAATTACCTATTAAAGCCATTCAAATTGATTGGGGAAGAGAGTATCAATCCTTCGCAACATATCTCAATGGTGTTGGAATACAACATTGTATCATATGTTCACAAGCACATCACCAAAATGGGGTAGTAGAATGTAAACATAGGCATATTGTTGAACTCGGTCTCACCTTGTTAGCTTAAGCTAATCTGCTTATGTAATTTTAGGATCATGCTTTTATCACCAGTGTTTACTTAATCAATAGGCTTCCATCATCTTCTATCCAAAATGAAGTTCCATACCAAAACTTTTTCAACAACCTCCAGATTAGAACTTATTAGAGAATAGGATAATAAATACTTTTATTATCAGTTGTATTGATTAAGTCTAAGATAGTAAGTTTTTTGTTAAGATTTGCCAACTCATTAAGCTGGTTAGTTTGTTAGGATTGTTATCTACTTTACTCAGACTTGTTCTCTATATATGTAGCTGGTACCTCATGGATACTACTTACTCTTGATTTACATTAATAATACATTTTACTAAAATTCTCTAAACTCTATCTTTCTATACGGTATCATCGTGAGCACGGTGAGATCTGGGAATCGTGTTCTTTTCAGCTTTGGTTCTGCATTGTCTTCCACTGCGTCCGTGTTCTTTTTGGCTTTAGTTTTGCATCGTCTTCCGTTGCGTCTTTTGGTTGCACGACATTGTTCGACCCTGTTTTAGATCGAAATCTTCTTATGGTCTCTGTTGAGGCTCTGTTTTGTCTCACTCCTTTTTTCGATTCTTGAAAATTTTCTTGTAAATTTCTCCTTGTTTCTGCTTTCAATCTTGCTCTAATGGCTTCTGCTCCTAAAAATCCTAATCAAACTTCCTCAAGTGTTTCAAACAACTTCTCACAAATTGTCACATGCAAACTTGATGAGAACAATTTCATGACGTGGCAGCAACAAGTCACCGTTGTAATTCGTGCACGTGATCTTGAGAGATTTGTTGTCAATCCAAAGATTTCGATGAAAAACCTTACCGGTGAGAATCGCGATGCCAATAACGTCAACCCTGAGTATGCTTCATGGGATCGCAAGGATCACTCCTGTTTTCATGGCGCTTGACTACACTTTTTGAATGATTCAGGCACGCATTGTCTCCTGTCGTCACTCATATCAAATTTGGGATCTGGTGTTTCAACACTTTCATTCTCTCACCAAAATTAAGGCAACACAACTTCGACTTGAACTCCGCTCAATAAAGAAAAGTACAAGAACGTGTTCTGAATACTTGCTTCGAATCAATAGTATCATTGAGATTTTTTGCTTCGATTGGAAGTCCTGTGTCAACCCGCGAATATGCTGAATGTATCATTGGACGTCTCCCACCTGAATATGACTCGCTGATCTCTACAAGCACTACCTTTGTCAGTCGCGATGATGTTCTCTCTCCCGGAGAACTTGAAACCATGATTCTTGCTCAAGAAGTGAGACTGGAACAAGCAAAGGCAGCAGTGATTCAAAAAGCCTTAACGATTAATCTTGCCCAAACTGCTCCAATTGCAAATGGAGCTCCGAATGTGAATTTGGCGTTTCAGCAGCCACAAATGCCAAATTCTCAGCCAAATACGTTTCAAAATTCTTCGTTTGAATCTCAAGGTGGGTTCAGTGGCTTTTCCAGTCAGAATCGTGATGGAGGACGTGGTCGTGGTGGTGCACGTGGTGGCAGAAATCATGGTCCCCCTGTTCAATGCCAAATATGTCATAAATGAAGGCACAAGGCCTCCTCGTGTTATCAACGCTCCAGTGGATTGTCATTTGGTGGTTTTGGGCTGCCTTTTGGCCCAATGTTTTCTCCTTACCCTACCTTTGGTCTTGTGTCTCAGAATGGTTATGGGTCTCAGAATCTTGGACTTGGCTCAACTTTTCTGCATAACACCGGAGCTATTCCTTAATATGGATCTACCAACATGCTTGGACTCTCAGGCTTAGCACAGTGGCCTACTTATGCATTGGGTGGTTCTTTTGGGTCCACTTTCCCTAGTCTTGGCTTCACACCACCTGGGTTCACATTTCCAGCATCATCCTCTAACCAGCAAACTCATCCGAGTGTTGCATATTCTGCTCAACGTTCTGCTCCAACTTTAAACACTACCATAGCATGGATTCGTGATTCAGGTGCTTCCCACCATGCTACACCTGATCCACAACATCATCTACAAAGTGCTCAATTTACAGGAGTTGAGCACATTGTCATGGTCAATGGCCAAGGTACATCTATTGCCTCAATTGGTTCTAATGTGTTTAGGTCCCCTATTCATTCTTCCACTGTTCTGTCCCTAAAGGATCTCTTACTTGTCCCCACCTTAACCAAAAATTTAATCAGTGTCTCTAAGTTCACTAAAGACAATAATTTCTACTTTGTATTCTATCCTTATTCTTGTTTTGTCAAATCACAAGATTTGAACGAGACTCTTCTTGAAGGAAAACTTGGTGAAGATGGTCTCTATCGTTTTCATCCATCTTTAGCAAATAATCAATCACTTAAAGCTGACATCAAGAATAATTCAATTTCAGTTTCATCTGAACCTTGTATTTTTCTTTCTGAAAAATGTAAAAATACTGTTCCTAGTACCTACAAACAATGGCACTTGCGGTTAGGGCATCCACATCATGATGCTCTAATTAAAGCCTTAAAAATTTGTAATATTCATATTCCCACTGTTAATAAAATTTCTGATTTTGGTGACTCTTGTTGTATTGCAAAATCTCATAGAATTCCTTCTCAACCTTCAATTACAGTTTATTCTAAACCACTTGAATTCATTTTTCTAGATGTCTGGGGACCTGCATCATTAGAATCTAGTTGTGGTTATTTGTACTTCTTAACGTATGTTGATGCATGTACTCGATATATTTGTGTTTATCTTCTTCTCAGAAAATCATATGTATTTTCTCATTTTCTGAATTTTAAAGCTCTAGCAGAAAAACAATTCCAGACTCCTCTAAAATCAGTTCAAACTGATGGTGGTGGTGAATTTCATCCTTTAACTTCTTTTCTACAACATGGTATTATTCACAAACTTACCTATCCCTATGCTCATCATCAAAATGGCATGGTTGAAAAGAGACACAGGCACGTGGTTGAGCTTGGTTTAGCCATGATACATCATGCTTCATTACCATTGAAATTTTGGGATCATGCCTTCTTGATTGCCACCTACCTAATCAATATGTTACTCTCTTCATCAATTGGTTATCAATCACCCTACAGGTTGATCCACAATAAGGATCCTGATTATAAATTTCTAAAGATCTTTGGTTGTTCCTGTTTTCCACTACTTAGACCTTACAATCAACACAAAATACAACCCAGATCAAAGGAGTGTATATTCTGTGACAACTCAAGGTTCTTCATTCAAATCCAATTATATTCTGTGACAACTTAAGCATTATGGCCCTAGCTCACAACCCTGTTCTTCATGCACGAACTAAACATATGGAATTAGATCTTTTCTTTATTCGAGAGAAGGTAACTTGTAAGCATCTTCAAGTCATCCATGTTCCAACTATTGATCAATGTGTTGATGTTTTCACAAAATCTCTATCTCCCTCTAGGTTTTGTGCTCTTCAATCCAAGTAATTGAGTTGCCACATCCTTCTCACCTTACTTGAGGAAAGGGGGTATTGGAGTATAGTTTTACACTTTACTTACATGTACGACAGTAGTGCAGGATTTATAGAGAAATTTCTATTTTATTATTTTCTATTGTATTTTTAGTCACATTTATTGTTTTCTATTATAGGCCAATAGCTATTACAGCCCAACACCTTCTATTAGAAGTTGTTGTCTCTATATAAACAACTTGTACTCTCTATTCAGTTAGTGGAAAAACATATTTTACATTTCAGAAATTATACTCAACATCATGCTTATCAAGTTTCAAATGATTCCAAAATTATTTAGTAGTTCATCACATCGCATTATTTTAACGTATAATATGATATTTAAAATATGTAAAACTCCTTTTTTGGATAACATATCTAGAAAAGCTAAACTCATGTGAAATTTGATATGCATAATCTTCGGTATAACATCACATGATTCAATGGTCGAATTGGTTAAATTTGTGTTATACAAAAAATTATTAAAGATATAAGATTTGGTGTAAGTTTTGAGACTTACACATGGTGTCAACGGATTCTGACTCATTTATAAATTGCATATATGATGTGAATTTTTTTCTTTTTATTGATTTATTTATTTTTCTTAATATTTTCTGATATTCTTATTGGTTTGCTATGATCATCGAATTACTATTGGTCATTAATCTCTTGAAAAAATTATTAAAAAGTATAATTGTAATCAAATTAATATAAAAATATTATATTCCTAGTTAAAATAATTATCCAAAGAAAAAATCTAGGTTGCTAAAAGACGAGCAAATCATATGCTTTGATACGGAGGCTGTAACATAAAATTATATCTAATAATTTTATATCATCCGTAGGTTCTGTTAATAATTAGCGGTGTTTTAATTAAGGTTTAAATATGTTTTTAGTCCCTCAAATTTAAGATAAATTTATTTTTGGTCCCTCAAATTTAAAACTGTTGTTTTTAATCCTTGTAATTTTCAAAAATCTTATTTTAGTCCCTCAGATCACCAATAACATATTTGAAAGTAACAAATTAAGACGGTTATGCAATATCAATTGAATTTAATGTGATATTTTTAATAATAAGGACACTAATAAGTAGATTTTATGCAATAATATTTGATAAATTTCTTAACAAAATTTGAATATAAGGACTAAAATAAGATTTTTTGAAATTACAGGAACTAAAAACATTAATTTTAAATTTGAGGGAGCAAAAACAAATTTACCTTTTGAGAGACTAAAAACATATTTTTAAGCCTTTAATTAATAATATAACAGTGATTCTTATTTAAAAAAAAAACGGTCCATTTAAGGCCCAGTAAAAGTAACCTTATGCTAATTTTAGATTTAATAAATAATATTATAAGTTACAAAAAAATAAATAATATTATTTAAAAGATTTTAATTTAGGAGAATAAGATTAGTAATATGATAAAAAGACTTAAATATAAAAGAGATGGGCAATTAAATATATGATTCTCCGGGGCTCGATAAGATGACAAAAAGGGATAAAAGTATTTTCCAACACTAAAATACACACATTGCCATTAAAATCATAATTATAATCTAATTTAAATCAAAATAATAATTTTTAAAGTTAAGATAGTTGTTCCTTCATTATCCATAGAAAAAATCAAGTTGTTTAAAAACCAGCCAACCAAGCTGTGAATGGAGCTGTATAACATGAATATCAGTAAACTATATGTATACATTGCCAATTTTAAAGTATTCATGCACCATAGACAGAAAAGTATTTCATCTCCAATATCAATGTAGTACCATCATTATTATCCCAACCAAAAATTCAAATCTTTCAATAAAAATCATTTAAAGAAGGGTTTTATGCTAAGTATCAAATAACGCATTTTTTTTGTGGGATCAAAGAAGAAATAACAAAAGAAAAGGGGGAAATTACAAAAGGTTCAATATAAAATATTGCAATAAACATCCCACTAACCTCTCCCACATGGCTGAAGGCTCCAACAATACCACCAAATAGAGTGGCATACATAGCATACCATATTTGAGTATCCATAAAATAAACCTATATTTTAATATAAAAGAATATAAGAATGGAATGGATTAGTCCACAAAAATTGATAGTCGAAGTAATAGATAATGTATGTCACTCTATAAAATTCTGTTACTACTAAGCTCACCAGGATAATTGGAGCCCATATTGCAGTGACAACACATATATTATGAGTCTCTGTAACACAGAATGAGTTGAAGCAAGGCATACTGATTGAACAAGTAGTAAAGATAATAAAAGGATAAAACTTTACCATTTTCTGGCAATAACACATGCCACTGGTGGTTATCTATAGACATCCCCATGATTAATTTTGTCGGTCCAACAAGGGGCAAAATCTATTGAAAGATTAATTTAGTGAAAAAAGAAACAAATTTAATGAAGTACAAGTTAAAAAATATTAGGTGTGTTTCATATAATCTCAACACAGGAAAAAAGAAAATACACAAACATGTTTACAAGAATTCAATAGTTCATTTATCAAGAACATGATCTTTTATGTTTTAAACTATTAGAGTATAGATAGAATGGGTGTGCAGGCTCCTACAATGAGTGCAGCACTGCTGTACTGTATCATTTCTCTGTTCAGTTATAATTCTATTTAGGTTCTGTTACATTACTGTTAAGTATTCTGTTAAAACATAACTCTTCTATCTCTCCTTTATATACCTTTGCTTAGTGCATCAATAACACAAGTCAATATACACTTTCTTTCGATCATTCTCTTTAGCTTCTCTCTGAATATTAACATGAACAACCTTACAATTGACATAGAGAACAAATAGAGGCATTGAAATACTATAAACGTGTGTTTGATGATGTGCATGCAAAATAGTGAATGAGATGTATCACATTGGATAGAAATAGTTATGTTAAGTGACATTAACATATAAATGAGAAAAATCCATAAATCTAATACCTTAAAGTTTTGAGTTAAGATGTGGTGTCAAATTCACTTATATGATTGGCTTTTGGCCTATTGATTTAGTTCTCCCCGATGTTTAAAAATCAGTCAGATTTGTTTTAGTATCATTAGCTACTGATATTTGAATAAAAATCAAATCAAAACCAATTACATAAATAATTCCTCCACATAGTAGCTGAATGCTAGCTTGCTAATTAGCACCATGATCCAAAAAAGGGTATACCTACCATAACACAACATATTTTAAAGCCAAAAATTAAGAATTTAATTAATAGTAGAAGAGACATATAGGTGCATGTCAGCAACAGTATTTTATTATTTCCTTATTTAGCAAATTACAATTAAAGCGTATAAGGGAAACATCCCTGAATCATAGGGATCGGATTGGCACATGTCCTATTAGTGTATTTCCTAAATTAACTTTTCAGCCTTGTATATATGACTGATGTATTCTCAGCATAAAAAATAATAATAAAAAAGGGGAATAACTTTTTCTACCCTAATTCTTGAGATGACATCAGAGCTCTCAAATTCTGGGATTCGCCTCTGATTGCGCAAACTAAAACCCTAGACGACAGCCTTCATTACTGTTGATTATCCCAAAACCCTAGACAGTAGCCTTCATTGCTGTTGGTCATTCCTTTGAAGGCAGCCTTCATTGTTGTCGTGATTTACAACACTAGTGCAGCCATGGTAGAACCAGTTAACACAACAACTGAAATACGGGATAATAAATTCCAAACCCATGGAGAGCTTTAGAGCCTCCACATTGCCTACAAATTGAATGGGAAGAATTACTTGAAATGGTCCCAACTTATTCGTACTATTTTGAAAGGAAAAGGAAAAGCTAGTCACTTGACTGGTGTTGTCCCTAAAGAGGAAGATCCCAAATATACACAATGGGATGAAGAGGACTCTATGATCATGGCATGGCTATGGAACTCAATGATCCTAGAAATCAGTGATACTTGAATGTTTCTTAATTTTGCCAAGGAGATTTGGAATGCCATAGTGCAGAATTACTCCAAAGCTAAAGATGTTGTTCAAATATATGACGTGAAGGTGAAGACTACGGCTGCAAAACAAAGAAACAAAACTTTTACAGAGTACGTCAATCAACTCAAATCATTGTGGATGGAGTTAGACCATTACAAGGTTATAAAAGCCAAGTGCTCAACAGATTCAGCAATGCTCAAATAGTATATTGAGCAAGATAGAGTCTATGACTTCTCGGTGGGGCTTAACTCTGATTTTGATTAGGTGAAAGTCCAGATACTTGGAAAAGAAAAAGTTCCAGGACTTAATGAAGAAAATGGAAGGGGATTATGCTAGAAACTCCACTTGTGGAAAATTCAGCCATGATGGTTAACCGAAAAAGGGGGGAATAATCAACATGGAGAACAAAGATGATAGAGCGTGGTGTATATATTGCAACAAGCCTCGTCACACTTGTGAGAAATGTTGGAAGCTGCATGGAAAGCCATCTAGTAAAGATTGGGGCCCCCAAAACTGGGACAAAGAGTGGAGAAAAAGAAGAGACGACATAAGAAAGGGAGAAAGGGAGGACAAGCACACATAGCTACTGGAACTAGTGAAGCAAACAAAGGATAATTGATTCCACTCAATCAAAATGAAATAGAGAAGATGAGATCATTCCTCAACAAGTTGGATAAGCCATCAGGTACTTGTTCTATGGCATATTCAGGTATGTTTCCTTTCTCTTTTGGATTCAATGCTTCAAATACATCCTATAACCAATATTGGATATTGGAATCTGGGGCCACTGACCACATGACACCCTTATCTAAACATTTCTCCCCTTACTCCCCTTGCCCTAGTAATAAGAAAATATCCACAACAGATGGCACTATCATCACTACATCAAGACAAGTAGAAGTTTAAATAAGCCCATCCATAACCCTAAAAAATGTCCTTCATATTCGCAAACTGTTTGTCAATCTGATTTCCATAAAAAATCTCATAAAAGACCAATCATGTAATGTTATTTTTTATGACAATGTTTGTATACATAGGACAAGCACTCAGGGAGGATGATTGGACATGCTAGAGAATGAAATGACCTATATTATTTGGACAACCCAAATCTGCCCCCAAACCTACACAACAACAACAACCATTTTTTCTCTGATTCAATAAAGAACAATAGGGAGAAAGTCCTCCTACACCACTGTCGTCTAGGACATCCTTCCTTTAGAGTCATAAAATTGTTATTCCCTTCCCTTTTAAACAAATTAGATGTCGAGAATCTTCATTGTGAAGTTGGACATTAGGATTATAAGGAGAGTGAAAAAGAGTAGAACAAATGGAAGATATGGAAAGACCTTGCCCATTTCCAATGAAGATCTAATCTAAACCTTCAAAAGGTTTAGTCTTTGTATGTTTTGGGAGTTGTTCATTACATGAAACGAAGCTCCCGAATTACGAAACTAGGCAGCGTACGGATTGGATTCAATGTTGGCAACCATAGCTTGAGGTTGCTTGGCACAAAGAGGTTGTTGCTAAGACTGATTCCACTATGATTGATTCATATTCTGATTCTGAGAGATTTTTTGATTCCATGCTGAGAAACTTGATTGATTCCAAGGTTGTAACCATTGGAAATTAGACGAAGGTTGAGCCTGATATTGTTGATTGAAAAATGATGATAATAGGTTAATATCGTGTGCCCATATCTGAAGCATACTTGGCATTGACTAGAGTATCGACCACCACAACCAAAGAAACCACTGGGATTACCAAAACCACGAAATTCAATGAAAGATTTTTGATTTTGATAGTTAGGGTTTTACTCAGAGAGATTTTCATCATCAATAATATTCACAGCAGCCTGAGGAGTGGTATGTATGAGATTTAGTGATGGAGTTGTAGTTGTATTGTATCAATTGAAACCTTTTTGTGATATTTTTGAAGACACAATTCTTAAGCAAGAAGCAAACCTTCAACTTCCTCAATTGTAGTATGTTCAATACAACTTTCAACTAGCACGATAACCGAATCAAATTCTTGAGGTAATCCTTCAAGAATTGCATCCAAATGCTCCTGCAATGATATAGGATCACCAACTAACAACAACCCATCAATCAAGGCTTTGATGCGAAGAAGATACTCATTAACTAGACGATCATCTAGGGTAGAGTGACGAAGTTTAGATTGCAATTTTCGAGTTCTTGTTTGAGTTAGATGATGAAAATATGCATGAATTTTCTCCCATACTTCGTACACATGAAGACAACTGTGTACTCGAGAGAGCATCAAACTTGAAAGAGATGACTCTAACCATACAAGTAGCATTTGATTTTGTTGTTCCCAAGCAATATATTGTGAACTAACTCGATCAAGATCATGATCTTCTTGAATGAGAAATTTTGAAGGAATTCGAGGAGAAACAACATAGTGATGAATTTTGTGTGCCTTGATTACAGACTCGATGTGCTGATGCCACAACATAAAATTCTTATCATCAAGTCTTTTTGTGATTTAATGTGAAGAAGATGAAGGATTGTCATTGTGCTAAAAATTCAACTACAATGGCAGCACATGAATCGGTTCTTATTATTTGTGGAAGCCATAGCTAAGGATTAAGAGGATCTAGATACCATATAAGAGTAAACTAAAAATGTAATTCATTAATAGAAATTGATGATACAAAAAATGTAATGAGTCTCTATTTACAATCATGTATATATAATAGAGACTCAAGGAGGAGAGATTATAACTGTCTAACAAAGACAGTTACATCTAACAGACTTATTAACCAAACATACCAACTAATTATGGTTACAAAATAATACTTTGCAAAGGAGTTTAACACTCATTGGCAAATCCCCTAGATTACCTTCTTACTTTTCTAAAATTGTTTACACTACACCTTTTGAAATAACAAATAGTGATTTATGCACCTTGCACTTGCCTCATCTATATGTGGGTATCAATATTATATTATCTTTGTTGATGCTCACACACGTTTCCCTAGATTTACCTTCTTAAAAGCAAAGTCCAAACTCGTAATATTTTTAAACAATTTCACGTTAAAGATAAGAATCAATACCAACTACCTATTAAAGTCATTCAAATTGATTAGGGAGCAGAGTATCGTTCCTTTGCAGCATATCTCGATGGTGCTGGAATACAGCATCGTATCATATGTCCACGAACACACCACCAAAATGAGGTAGTAGAACGTAACATAGGCTTATTATTGAACTCAGTCTCACTCTCACCCTATTACCTAAAACAAATCTGCCTATGCAGTTTTGGGATCATGTTTTTATCATTGGTGTTTACTTAATCAATAGGCTTCCATCATCTTATATAAAAAATGAAGTTCCATATCAAGAACTTTTTCATCAACATCCAAAATACAACTTTCTCAAAAATTTTGGTAGCTCTTTCTTTCCACATCTCTGACCTTACAACATAAACAAATTTCAAATTATATCCCAAGAATGTGTCCTTTTGGGGTATTCCACATATCACCAAGGCTACAAGTGTCTTGCAGTAGATGGACGCCTCTATATTTCTAAAGATGTTTTCAATGACACTAGGTTTCCCTAATTCCCTATAAGGATCCCTTCTCTTTATCAACTATTACTTCTTCCCACGAAACTATTCAGGTTCCTCTTACTACAACCAACACTCATACCTTTGCACCCTACACTTCATCAACTTCCTCAAGTAAACACTATTTAATTATCATCCCACATCTGAAACATCACCCATTATGGATATTGAACCTCACACATCAACAACTTCACCAAGCATTTCTCCTAAATCTCCTAACTCAAATAATATTACAATTGTTATGTCTCCCTCCAATTTATCCATCCCTACATCACCTAGGACCGCTTAGATATTTTTAAGGCATTGAGGTTACATAATCCACCTCTGGAGTAGCCATTTCCTAGAGGTTATATGTTCTAGATATTCTCAGCAAGATTGGTATGCTTGATTGTCACCCTAGTGGCAATTGTAGATCCAAAATGTGAACCTTTTTCTAGGTCAAAAGGAACCAATGGAAGACCTAGGAAGATATAATCGTCTAGTTGGTAGACACAATTACCTCACTATCACCTACCTAATGATCACATTTGTACTAAGCATGATAAGTAAATTCCTAAATGCCCCATGTGATAGCCATTGTGATGTTGTCATGCGCATCCTCAAATATGTCAAGAATGTACTAGGTTGTGGATAAACAAGGGCAATGCCAAAATTGTCTGTTATTTGATGTTGCTTAGGCAGGATCACCTTCATAAAAAAAAATTTCCATGGTCAAAATTTACAGACAATATTGTAAGAATTTTATTTTGTTTCTTGCAAAAATAAATTTGCAAAATAATGTTTACTAAATGGTAGAAAAACTTTGCCGGTAACTTTTCTTGCAGATTTTCCTGTCAATTTTAATCTACAAGAAAAATAAAAAAAAATTTAATTTATAAATTTAATATTTTAAAAAACTTCAAGTCCCACATCAATTGAAAATAAAACAATAAAGAATATATAAGTTGGGGCAACACTTACCGTATAAATTGATTTGTATGGTTGAGTGTTAGGCTTATAATCTGCAAGCTTAGAATTTAAAAGATTATATATCACATGTTGGGGCGTGAAAACAAATGCTTTGGATAAATTCATTGTAATCATTAGTAATTTCTTTATTTTTTTTTGTAAAAAATATTCTTGCAGAATTTCTTGCAAAAAAATTCACAAGAAAGTTTCTTGCGAATTTTTTTTGCAGGAAACCTTCCTGCGATTTTTTTTGCAAAAAATTTCGCTGGAAAATTTCTTACAAATTTTAAAATTCGCAAAAACATATTATCTACGAAGTTATTATCTGTAGATAAAATTTCGCAAAAAAAATTGTAGGACAACGTTCCTGCAAATTTTTATGAAAAATTTGCAAGAAAAATCGCATGTAATAAAAAAATTATAGTAGTGTTAATTCATAATTAATATCAATGATTTGGTAGCTCAATTTAAAAATGTTGATTTTAAATTTGTTTTTTTTAATGTAATTCAATTTAGTTTATAGTTAATAATAGTTCTATTTAGTTGATATTATAGTTTAGTTCAAACTCCTAGAACTATAGTGCACTAAAGTAGATAATAGTTTAGTTTAGTTTAGTCAATATTTATTTTAGTTCAATTTAGTTTGATGAACTATTTATTGTAGTTTAGTTTAGTTTTCTTCTAGTTTAGTTCAATTTAGCAATTT